AGTTCTAAAAATATTTTTCAACAAATCAATCATCAAGAATCCAACATACATAAGATATTATGTTTCACTTCATAACTTTAATAAACTTTGATATAGTCTTAATAACCTCTTACATCTTATTTAAGTTCTAAAAATATTCTTTAACAAATCAATCATCAATAATCCAACAAAGTTATTTGTAACACTCGGTTCCATGGTGCGTATTTAATTCAAGTATTTGTCATGTTTTGCCCTGGGACTCGACGAGTTGGAGGCCCAACTCGTCGAGTAGGCGCGGCTTTGGACCCGAAGGTTTAGTGACCTACTCGACGAGTCGGGAGACCGACTCGACGAGTAGGAGCTGTCTGAACAGAACCCTAATATTTAGGGTTTGCACCCTATTTAAACACTTTATCTCGTCCCAAACCAGCCTCCATCACCCCTCCCAACTCAGAGAAGCTCTAGATTGAAACCCTAACCTTGTTTGAGTGATCTTGAGCCATTTTTGTGTGTGTTTGTGGTGGTTTGAAGTTTGAAGAAGAGAAGGATGCTTGGAAGCTCAAGAGAAGACTAGTAGATCCAGAGGTTTTGATTTATTCACATCCCATTCAAGGTAAAAAGCTTCAACCTTGACTTCTCATTTGATAGATCTCCTCTAGGGCTTAGATCTTATCATTTTGGGGGCATTTCTAAGGCCATATTCAAATTGAGTGGGAATCATGGAGTTACACTTCAGATCTCGAAATATTAAGGGTTCCCATGACATAAAGGTGCCAACTTTATGGCCATGGGAAGCTCATGCATCTTATAAACCCCTTTTTTAAGGATTTTGGAGCCAAAAACCCCTTGCATGGGCATCAACTTCGTAGCTTTACGTATGAAATGGACCCTAGGAGGTCAGATTTATGGTTTTGATGCATTAAGAACCATTATAATCGACTGTATAGTTTTGGACAAAGAGAGACTCGGCGAGTCGCTTGGGTGACTCGGCGAGTCGGGACGCATTTTCCCCCAAACGTCTTCTAGGAATGGTTTTGGTTGAGTGGAAGGAACACTCAGCCTGCTAGGGGTTTGTTTTGGACCTGGAAATCATAGGACTCGGCGAGTGGATGAACAGACTCGGCGAGTTTTAAGGCAATGTCCCAACCTCATGAAGACGGACTCGACGAGTTCAAGGAGAACTCGGCGAGTCATAGACTAGACTCATTCATTCGGATGAAGATGAACTCGACGAGTTCAAGAACGAACTCGGCGAGTCGGTTGAAGATAGTTTGATATGTTGTTGAAGGCGAACTTGTCGAGCTCTTTCTAGACTCGACGAGTAGGGACGGGATGGTAACATTTTGTGGACATGGGGAATCGGCGAGTTGGTGGACCAACTCGGCGAGTCGAGTCAACCATATGTTGACTTTGACCAAGGTTTTGACCTTGATTTTGACTTGGACATGAGTTGGCCGTTGTAGGGGTTATGAGTATGAAACGATAATGTAGAAAGGATGTTGTGTAGGGATTGAGGGGTCGAGAAGAGTTGATTTCCATACCGAGGACAGCGCAGACACTACACCACATTGATGTGAGTTACCTTCCAGTAGAAGTGGGTCTAAGGCACCAAGGCCGACCCACTAGTAGTTGATTACAGTTAAGATGACTGTCTTTGTGATAATTGTCTGGTTTGCTATTACTTGATGTGTTCTATGTGCCAGTATGATATGTTCTATGTGATAGTGGTAGTAGGGGGGAATAGTCCCCCGATTCGGTCGTTAGGGCCGAAGGATAGGTCGGACACCCTAGATATGTCTGACAGCATGATTATGATATGGTTATTATGTGATAGTAGTAGGGGTGAAATAGTCCCCGTGACCGAGCGAGATAGATCGGAGGGTAGGCAGGCACCCCAGAATGGCCTGACACGGGTAGGTCAGCACCCCAGAATGGCTTGAAACGGGTAGGTCAGCACCCCAGAATGGCTTGACATGGGTAAGTCGGGCACCCCAGAACTGCCCGGAAGTATATATGTTGTATGGTATGTGGTATGATGGGGGAACTCACTAAGCTTTGTGCTTACGGTTTTCAATTTTGGTTTCAGGTACCTCTTCATCTAAGGGGAAGGAGTCGGCAGGGTAGCAGCGCATCGCACACACATGAATTCCGCTTTGAGAACCTTGGGATTGTACTCTAACGTTTTACTATTTGATGTTATGGTTTTCGAGACTTGTAATTTTGTGACTTGATGTTTGAAATGATAATAACGATGTTTTCGGTAAACTATTTGTATAAATAATATAATTAAACAAAAAAATTTGGGTCTCGATTTTGGGATGTTACATTATTCATTCTAAATCTCATGAACTGATGGGTATAATGCAAAACATATAAATTCCTATGTGTGCATGCAACCCTAATACTTTATATATGTTTTCTCTAATTGAACATACAACTTTTGAACAACAAAAAAGTAGAAACCCTAGAACACTAGCATATTTTTGAAAATACAAATAGAGTTAGGAGAAACATACCTTGATTGTTATTTAGTAATAACAATGAAAATCCTTGTGTTGTTGAAACCTTGAGAGCAAGCGTCACAAATGTCACACCTCTAGTGGTTCACACCCAACACTAGCGAAGGAAGATGATTAAGAGAGAGGAGGAAGGCTATAAATTTCGGCTATCTCTTCAAAAGAATGAGTGGCCGAAATTCTTATGGTTGTAGCTCTATTTATAGTGCAGTCAGGAAACCCTAGATAAGCCCAAATCCAATATTATCTTAAACCTGGTAATTATACACCTTCATGTTTATCCACCAGGGATAATTCTAGAATCCCTTAAGCTTCAAGAAACCGTCCAAGTATATCGAGTACAATCATCAACCACAATAAGAAAAAAAATTATAACCATCATAAGAAGTGTGTTTTTATGGACCCCATACATCTATGTGTCTCAAATCAAAAGGTTCATTAGAAATAGTTTGACTGATAGGAAAAGGAATACGATGCTCTTTGGATTTAAAACAAATGTTACATGGTGAAATACCAGAAATGCCCTTTCCAAAAGGAATGAAATTAAGATGTCGAAGAGTTTCAAATGAAGCATGACCCATTCTATTATGCCAAACAGATACAATAGAATCTTTATTCAACAAAGTAGAATTGAAACATTTGAGTACATAACAATTAAAAGAAAGACTAGTTCTTATACTTATGTGATCAAAAACATAAAGATCATTGATCTTTTGTCTCATAATTCCCAAAGAAAGCTTACTCTTCAACAAAGGATCCTGCAACATGCAGTATTATCAATTAAAATGATAAATGTATGAATGAGATGTCAATTTAGTGACAAAAACACGATTATACTTAAAAGCAGGGACATACAAAACATTATGAAGAGTAATAGAATCATGCAACTGAACACCACCATAAGAATCAATAGATGTTGCATTGCCATCAGGAAGCCTAATGAGATGAGGCTGAATAAGTTTATGAAAGGTGATAAACAAAGATCGATTAGAACACATGTGATTCGAAGCCCAAAAATCAACAATCCATGAAAAATATTCATGTAAATGTTGAGAAGATTTATAAACATTTGAAGCAAAATGTTTAAAGTTCAATTTACCTTCAGAATTCATTGCACCATCAGTGACAGAAATAGGTGATGAAGTAATTGTAGTTGGAGATTTGATGTTGTGATTGTTGAACATTTGCATCAATTGTCTATATTTCTCAACAGTGATGGGAGAAGAAGAACACTCAACAATGGACAGTAGATCGAGGTTTATCTCTTTTTCCTTTAGTGAATTTGAAGGTTGAGGGAAAGTCGTTGAGTCTATAACACTGGGCTTTAATGTGTCCTGCTTTCTTCCAATGATTACAGGTGAGAGTCTTCTTGTTTGAATTAGCATCATAAGAAGCTTGCATAGCGATTGCATCGGAATTGAGAGAAGTTGGAATGTTAATTCCTCTTTGTTGTTCTTCTCAAAGAAGAAGAGAATGTTCAGAGGAAATAGATGGCAATAGTTTCATCATCAATAATTAACCTCAAATGACCATGAATGAATCATTTAATCCCATAAGTAACTATATGAGACGTTGATCTTCAAAAATTTCTGAATCTTCGAAGCAGTGCCACATGTACATGATGGAAGATCTTGAAGAATGCACAATTCGTCCCCTATTTTCGTGATTTTGGTAAAATAAACAGAAAATTCATCCGAACCCCGAGAGAGAGAGAGAGAGAGAGAGTAAAGTTGTTGTTGAACTTGATACAACGAAACTCCAATGGATTGTTCATATTGTTGAGCAAGATTGTTCCAAATTTCAGATGTGGTCTCAAGAAAAAGAACACTGTCTGCAATTGGTTTAGAAATCGAATTGAGAATTAATCCAACTTATAGCCATCGAATTGGCTCTAAACTAATTGGAATAATATGGTGAATTGATATTAGGTTTTGAAATAGATCCATCTACAAAGCCAGGCTTGTTCTTTGTAGATAAGGAGATGAACATCAAACGCTTCCATGAATTGAATCCAACTCTAGTAAAAACAGATGGTACAAGAACTGAATTAGGTGTATCAGAAATGGAAATAAAATATGGACTTGAAGCATTGAGACTAAGTGATCCATTGGTCTGATTGGATGAATAGGCCATTGGAGAGGAAATTGACGAAGATCAAAGAGAGAAATACATAAAGATTAGGATCGAATTTGATACCATGTAAACATGATTGAGTTATGAAACGTTGAGAGAGAATTCCATTGATTGAAAAGTAAAAAACTGTATACCATGTAAACATTACAATTAATGATTAAATATAACTTCTACTTCTAACTACAAACTATTAAAATACCTAAAATACCCTTATGCTAACATTCATTTAACAAACAATGGAACTAACTTTACAATAAATGACTAAAATACCCTTATGCTAACATTCGTTTGGGTGACTATAACACGCTTGCAAAACCCTACTTCCTGATTAAACCTCCAGTTCAATCGCCCAAATTTTCTGTTTGGAACATAATGGCTTCCAACATCATCTTTCGACGGTTCAATTCGTTTCGTCATTTTCAAGCTCGTCCTTTCTCATCAGTTTTAAACCCTGATTCCACCACTCCTCTCTCCAGCAAAGAGAAATCACGCGCCGCTCTTTCTCTCCTCAAAACGGAGAAGAACCCGGAACGCATCATCGATATCTGCCGAGCAGCTTCACTCACACCGGAATCACATCTAGATCGCATAGCATTTTCAATCGCAATTTCGAAGCTCGCGGATTTGAATTACTTGGATGGTATACGTGATTTCATCGAAGAGTTGCTTAAAACCCGACCGGATTTGAACAACGAGAAGTTCATCTCTCACGCGATTGTCTATTACGGTCAAGCTGGGTTGTTAGATAATGCATTCCAACTGTTTGATAAAATGTCCCAGCTGGGTGTTGCTCAAAATGCAAAATCTTTAAATGCGCTGCTGTTTTCTTGTATGTTTGCCAAGAAATACAATGAGGTGAAACGTGTTTATCTCGAGTTTCCATTGAAATACGGGGTGACGCCTAATCTTGATACATACAACACTGTGATCAAGTCCTTTTGTGAATCAGGATCATCAAGCTCATGTTATTCAGTGATTTCTGAGATGGTTAGGAAGAACTGCAAACCAAATGCAACCACATTTGGTACTTTGATTGCTGGATTTTACAGGGAGGAGAAGCTTGAAGAGGTTGGAAAGGTGTTGGAGTTGATGAGGAAACATGAAGTTCCAATAGGGATCTCAACATATAACACCAGAATTCAAAGCTTGTGTAAGCTCAAGAAAACAAATGAAGCGAAAGAGTTGCTTGATGGGCTTATGTTGAGTGGAATGAAACCAAATTCTGTCACTTATTGTCATTTGATTCATGGATATTGCAAGGAGGGGAAGTTGGATGAAGGCAAGAACTTGTTTCACAAGATGATTAACAGTGGCTTTAAACCTGATAGTGATTGTTATTTTACACTGGTTAATTATTCGTGCAAAAATGGTGATTTTGAAGAAGCATTGAAGGTTTGCAAACAGAGTATGGAGAAAGATTGGGTGCCGAATTTTTCGACTATGAAGATGCTTGTTGAAGGGCTTGCAAAGAGTTCAAAAGTTAATGAGGCAAAGGAGCTTGTTGAGAAGATGAAGGAGAAGTTTCCAAAGAATGCCTACATGTGGATTGAAGTAGAAGAGACTTTAGCCAAATCAGAGGATATATAAAGATGATATAATGACAATTTATTTGCATTTTTACATCTTTGCAAGAAAAGTAAATGTACTTCATGTTTTTCTTTATAGCATTGTTGTTTAACTTTTTCCTATTATAACATTGTACTTTCTAAATGCTAGAGAAGTATTTACTTTCTATTTTTTCCACATCGTTAGTCTCAAATATCCATGTTAAAAGTTGCTGTAAATAGCATTCTAATATATGAGACATGAACAAAATCTCTGTTGAATTTCATAATATTACTTTTTAATCACACAACTAATTTAAGTTAAGGAAAACTAAAAAAGACTATTAATAATTGACGTACTAAAATCATCAACACGACAAACAAGAGAACTTAAAAAGACTTCTCATAATTAGTCAAAGAAGATTTAGCATTTTGAGCAACACCATTTCAATCAAACAATTGGAGGGCATTAGTATCACCCAACAACTCATGCAGCTTGATTCATTTGTGATTTTTGGGATAAAAAAGATATGGATCAACTGTTTAAAGGGATTGAACCCGACGTGAATCGAACACGCAACCTTCTGATCTGGAGTCAGACGCGCTACCATTGCGCCACGGATCCTGTTGAAATATACGTCGTTTTCAATGTAGTTACCACATATTAGTAATTAACATTTATAAAATAGTAATATGTTTGTTGATATAAAACAAGATTGGTAGATTGTAAGTTGGTAAATACACTTTAATAAGCATTAAATTAGGATTTCTTTATAGATATTTTTGATAGGTTTATATGTAAACTATGTGACTGTTTCAAGCCATGATACATGCAATTTGACTTAGAATTAGACTGAGTCGGCTCAGACCATTTTGGCTGACTCGCTCAGCTATTTGTTATTTGTGTTTGATAAACACTTTATTCAGAAATCTATAGCTGATTGAGAAAGAAGTTGGAAATCAGCTGACTGAGAAGAGGAGAAAAGTTTCCATCGGTGCCCTTTCTTCTCCCCTTTCAGCGATTCCTCTTCTCCAGCAAGCAACATCGACCTATTTCTTCCTCTTCCAATCGCCGGTCGAAGCTCCTTCCTCGTCTATCAGGTATGCTTCTGCTGTTCTTTTCTTCTCCAGCCGATCAAAGCTCCTTGCCCTAAATGCTCACTGTGTTCGATTTCACCTTATGATTGTCCTTTTGCTTACTCCTTTGTAGCTGATTGACTCTGATTTCAATTACATGTACAAAACTGATAAAAATGAATTTACTGTTGAAGGTAGCAGAGCAATTGCTTACTCCTTGCCCTAAATCCATCTATTTACTGTTGAAGGTAGCTGATTGACTCCGATTACACCTTATATATTTTTTAATTCCGATAATACCCTCGGGTAAATAGATGGATTGGCAAGGACAGAAGGTAGCAGAGCAATTGATGCAGATATTGCTGGTGGTATTTGCAGTTACAACATTTATAACAGGTTATGTTGTGGGTTCATTTCAACTGATGTTGATAGTGTATGCTGGGGGGGTGATTTTGACAACTTTGATTACAATTCCTAATTGGCCCTTTTTTAACAAACATCCTCTCAAGTGGTTGGATCCAAGCGAAGCTGAAAAGCATCCAAAACCACAGGTGGCTGTGACTTCGGTTTCAAAGAAGAAACCCAACAAGAAATAGGCTATGGCTATTATATCATAATTGGGTCATATTGAAATGAGAATTGTGTTTTTTCGGAATTTATTATGTTTTTAATGTTTATCTTGATAAATGATATAAGGCAAGAAGATTGAAGAAAAATATTTTAAATGAGTAGAGCATTTGAATTTGATTATAGTTCATTTTTATAATTTTTCAACAACTTCATCCATTGTTGTATAGAGTAGAAGGGTAAAATGGTCATTTTTCATCAGTCAGAACATTAAGTCAGATGTACAATCAAACAGCATGGTTTCTTACTTATTTAGGATTTCTTACCGAGACAGACATTTCCCAGTCAGCTCTTTCTCAGTCAGGAACTATCAAACGGGACCTAAAATGGCTTTGATGGAAAAAAGTTAAACATGGTTTATCCGATGTAAGTAAAATATAATAGTTTTATGAAGTTTATCTTTTTTATAAACATTATTTTTTTATATATCCATGTCACACTTGAAAAATATTTAATTTTTTGGTAAAGTTATTTTCTCAGGGTCAAGTGTTCAACATGACTTTGATTTTAGTTTAGATTTTAGACAGCAGATATGATGAGGAAAACTTCAACTACGATATCTTCATTTTTTTAGACTGGAAAATGCAAACTAATCGAGATAACTTAGAGATCATCAAACAATAAATATTATCAATTGAAGTGTAAAGTCTTTTTTATGCAAACTTAAGCTTAGCTCCGGAATGCTAAATCTTTCTTGAAATAAATGAAAAAGGATGAATAGTTTAAAGGTATTGAACCCGACGTGAATCGAACACGCAACCTTCTGATCTGGAGTCAGACGCGCTACCATTGCGCCACGGATCCTGTTGTAACATACGTTGCTTTCAGTGTACTTATCACCTATAAGTAATTAAAAAATTATAAAATAGTAGTAAAATATTTTCTTGTATAAATCTGCCAACCAAGAAACATGATTAATTTTCACACAAAAGCATACAAATATTATTACCAAAGAAGACCTTAAGTTAACCAGGTCGATTTTATGAATAGAAAGACTTTTCTTACAAACAAGAAACACCATTAATGAAGATGAGAGGTTAAATAGCTGCAAAATCAAGTGACTTCTTTCCTTCATGAGCATTCCCAAAGAAGTTGTTCATGTATTCTTGGAATACGAGTTCCCTATATCGAGCAACCCCATCACGAGCCACCAACTCTGGCAAAGGACCTATCTTTGCCACGGGAAGTGGGACGTTGAATATTGGGACCGACACTCTCGATGCACTGCTTGTGGTTCGTACCCTGTGTTCCGCACTTTTGTACCTCCCATTGCTTACGATCTATAATTAACATCAAAACACCAAACAATCAAAATTTAATTACAAGAGCACCATTGCAATTAAACGTGTGCGAAATTTTAATTAGTTACGGCATGAAAACTTAACCTGTAAAATATCGCCAATATTAATCACAAGAGCACCATCGATAGGTGGAATCTCAATCCACTCTTCGTTTCCTGATGATGAGTTTTCACCTTTTTTCACGTATAATCCACCGATTCCATCTTGTAGAAGCACCGTTAGGGTGCCCATATCCGAGTGTCGCCCAACACCAACGGTCAGCTCTGGATTCGGGCAGGTCGGGTAGAAGTTCATGTTCACCATCCTTAAACCCATAAGCGATTCAAGTCTTGAATCGTCTAAATTCACTCCAAGGTTTCCGATTAGTTCTTGTAATAGCCTTTTCACCATCTCCTTTGATGTCTTTATGTACTCCAGTGTCACTTCTCTACAAAGCATATATATACAAAATAAACTTATTATCATGCATATGCTGCATGCTAATTAATTTTTCCATTCCAAAGTTAAAAATTCTTACTTGCATTCATTAGGCCAGAACTCAAGAGCATCGGAATCATTGGTGTAAACCATGTTAATATAATCTTTCCATTCCAAAGCTTTCTCTACCTCAGGAACAAAGCTTGTTCCATACTTGACTATCGGACTAGGGCTCACCTCTTTGAGATACACCGCCTTCTTTTCAGGTGGTTGGCTGAAAAACTGGTGGGCTGAAACTTTGAGTGAGTCAAGAAGCTTCAATGGTACACCATGGTTCACCACCTGAAAGAACCCTAGGGTTTCAGCAGCATGGGCAATGGCCTTGACCACTTGATCATGGTTAGCTCCATCGAGCTCTGATAGATCAATGGCCATGTTTTCCAGCAATGCGGTGGCTGCTTCTTGCTTGTTGATTCGCTGGTGGGATGGTTGGATGTAGCGGCTGGGGACCTCTGTGAGGCCGGAGTCCACCAGACCTTTGACACCGTTGCCATCTTTTACCACGAAGTTGAAGAGTGAGTTCTCATCGTTGAAGCTTGGAGCCATTGGAGAACGGTAAATCTACTTGTGTCTTTGTGCTTGACTGATTAAACATCTCGATCATTAATGCCTATAAATAGTCTTGTATGTCATGGTTTACTTAATTTTTTTTTGTCTATTTTATTAGTCATGTTGCGATTCTATTGCTATATGTGTTTAAAGGCATGGTCCAGGCCCCATAAGTAGGCAATGATAATACTCTTTCACCAAACGAGGATTGATAATATACTATGTAAATTGGCAGTTCAGTTGATTCATTTAAGAATTAACTCATTAGTAGTTATCAAGAATTAGTAAAAGCAATTGGCTTAGCAATAGTAGTCTTTCGGTTTCATACTTTGGCCACCAGATTTTTATATATTGGCGGATTTGATCCTTATATTTTTTGGGTTTCAGACTTTGACCATAAGAGTTTCGTATATTGATAGCTTTTGTCCATATACTTTTGTATATTGGCAGGTTTGGTCCCTAGAGTTTTGGCATTCAGACTTCTACCACAAGACTTTTGTATATTTTCGTGTTTGGTCCATAGACTTTCGTATGTTACGAAAATGCTTTCTCTAAGATTGTATATCGAAACTTTACTTTTATTTTAAATTAACAATTTTTTGCTAAAAATAAGGTCATATTGTGCCATACTTTCATATTTCTTGTTACCTTTTGTACTTCATTTTCAATCAATAGGAATATACTAGCCATTTTTCTACATAACTTTTTAATCATGTCCTTCAATTTAAACATTATAATGTTTGATTACTCAAGAAATATTTGAAGTGTTATGTTGGCTAGTTTTCCAATTCCTACCTTTAAATTGACTTACATGTTTTTCTCCTTCAATACTCAGCTCTGTTATTACTTATTTGGGTTATTTGTGTGATACTAGGTTGTAATATTCCTTGCATAGGCTTTTTATGATATTGGAACTATGCATATTTTCACAACACATTAGGGACTTTCCATAATTAGCATGGTGTGACATTGAGCCGAGCGCAGTGTTTTAGTTCTAGTAATGAGCTAGATCGATCATATATATATATATATATATATATATATATATATATATATATATATCGTGATATGTACAAGGTATGATCTCTTGTATGCTTTAAGCGCGACAAGTCCTTATCAGGATAATTATGGTGAAAATCAATGGATTGCTTTCAAGAACATTCTCAAGTATCTATAGATGAAAAATGGTATGTCCTTGATTTATAAAAGAACTTAGTGTAAAGAGTTAATTGATGTTGTGTCCAAACTGATAGAGACATCAAGATTCGTGTTCTTACTATATGGTGGAGCAGTGACTTAGAAGAGTGCCAAGAAAGACACCATAGTGGACTTGACAACAAAAATTGATTATATTGCATTGACTGCAAGGAGGCTATATGGCTAAGGAGTTTCACCATAAATCTTAGTGTTGTAACAAGAATTGATGGTCATATTGAGATCTTTTATGACTATAAGGGTGAAGTCATCTTGAATCACACAAGAAGACAAGGCATATACTTAGTAAGTCTTATTATATTTGAAATCTTGTCAAAAGAGAAGACATCATAGTCAGTAGAGTTATATTGGAAGAGAATCTTGTCGTTACATTCACTAAGCCACTGTCACAGACAAAGCATGGTTTTCATAATAGGTCGAAAGGCATTAGATTTGCAAATGAATTGGTTTGATTGTATTTAGTTTAGTTTGTTTTGATTTGGGCACTTATACACTTTAATATTTATCTAATTTGGAGATTATTAAGTGGAGATCTTAATATAGTTGGAGAGCAACCATTTCATTAGTTTACTACTATGTTCCATTTTCATGTTTAACCAACTTCCAGAATATTAACTGGTTTAAACCCTCCACACTCGGTCGTACTTTCGAAAGCAAGTAGTGATTTAAGATTGTCATTGAGTATTAGTAGATTGTCCATAGAGATGGACATAGCATGTAGATGCGACCAATAATCATGTGTACTTTGTAACGACCCAATTTTCCAAAAGAAAATTTTCATTTTTAAATAGCCAAAACACTTTTTCATAAACCATAAAATCTCAATACAATTGTTTTCAATTTCATATCCTTAACAATATTATTTGAAGTCATCAGAGTGTCCCATAAAAATGCATGAGAGAGTGCACACTGCGCCATCAAGCCTTGCCCTTGCCCTTGGGCCCGGATGTACCTGCAACAAATCCACAAATTGTAAGCTAATACTTAGTGAGTCCCCCAGAGCATACCCCGCACATAATCCACATAACACATATCACATTAGCCATAAAGCTACATATATCACATAAGCCATGCATACAAACATATAAGGATGTCGTGGACTCCTCCTAAGGTCTTACTCCAGGATGTCATGCGCTCCCCCACATGGTCTTACACCTAAGTGCCATGGGCTCCCCCATGGTCTTTAGCTGGAAAGCCATGGGCTCCCCCACATGGTCTTACATTCAAGTGTCATGGGCTCCTCCCATGGTCTTTACTTGAAAAACCATGGGCTCCCCCACATGATCTTACATTCAAGTGCCATGGGCTCCCCCCATGGTCTTCCATGCAAGTATCACATATATAGCTAGCATAACACCAAGCATAACTAACTATCATACCACATATCTCTACAACAACAAGATGGTGAGTTCATAAGCATGTTTTTGTAATGAAAATCTTGTCATTGAATCTGTAAAATGTTTGTATGCTTCCCAAGAAAATCCAATATTTTCTAACATATATGTTTATTATTGTGTTCTGTAGTAGTGTATAATGTATTAGTTTGTACGTCTGGTTACCACCAGCTGTATTGTATAACGTTGTTTTGAATGAAAACCCTTTGTATGAAAACCCCGACTATCACCAGTAATGTATAAGATGTTCTGTTTGAAAAACCCTGGTTACCACCAGTAATGTACAAGATGTTCTGTTTGAAAACCTGGTTAGCACCAGTATGTATAGTAGTTTCATTACTTCAAATAAAACTATGAGTTGAAATCCCTGGAATCCTCCATTTGTATTATGACTTAGTTTTATTAATAAAATAAAATTAAAGAAGAATGAAATCCCGTAAACAATAAGGTTAGTTTATACTATTTTGAGTCGTATAACCATGGTTGATATGACCTAGCGACCTTTACGACGTTCTTCAAGTGTCGGATAAATGACATTTGTCACCCTAGGCATGCCTGTCTAACTGTAGCTAGGAGTTCAGGTGTGGGATTGTCACTCCCGAATAGATCTATTCACAAATCTCACGCTCTCCCTCCAGGAGACTCTGGTTATACTATGATAGGATTTAACTTGTACCCCGAAAGGTACAATTGAAGTGTTGTCTCACAATCCTGTATTAACTAGTTTACGTGTAGTTCTGTATTGATCTACTGTATTTAAACCCGTGTGTATACTTTATAGGGTAATAATTATACTTAAATAATTATTAAATGCTATACTCTTGTAGTAATGTATATCATAAACTAAATTTGTCATAGTTTATATGTTTTGCTATGTAAAACTCTGAATTCGTAAAACTGTGTATTGAAAACCCAAACTATACCTATTATAGTTTGCATGTATGTTGTGTACTTAGTTTATGTATTGATCGGAAAACTATACAATTTTGATTGTAGATTGAAAAAGTCCCTTATGCTCAACACGTTACAAAAGGGATAAAATATCTAAATATTTTATAAACATGTGGAAACTGTAAGATTGTATCGATTGCATCAGTTTTAAATGTGTTGAAATCCTTTTGTATAAATGCACAAAATCATTTGTGTTTGGCTTGTACTCTCCCCCTGAAAACATTTAAAATCATAAAAGCATAGGGGTATGAACTCACTGTTAGTCGTGTGAATAGTCGGACAGCGAAAACTGGGAGTGAAGACCCTCGAGTTGATGTACGTGGCACTCAACGGGATCCTAATACAATTAATACATATATGTATTTTATTAGCAAAACCATTATTTATAGTGTTGGAAAAACACTTGCTTTTAGTTTAGGAATGTTACCGGGACTCGATTGAATAGGAAAAGCGAGTTTGCAGCCAAGATTTACGGTGTGAAGGAGTTTGCGGTCGTGAAGGGTTTCCGGCCGTGAACTGTTCTCGACCGTGAACAGCCCCTTGAAGGGTTTACGGCCGTGAACGGTGTTCTTGAAGGTTTTATGAATCTTGAAAGGTGTACGGCCGTAAACGGTTTGCGGCCTTTGAAGATTTGAAGGGTGTACGGTCGTAAACTCAAGAACAGCGATGTTGGATTCGATGAAAAACGAGCTTTAGATGCTCCAAAACAACCTCCAGAGGTGATTCTTGATGATTTTTGGAAGAAAAGAGGGTGTTTTGGTGTTTACGGTTGAGAGGTAGAGAGAGAGAGAATGAGAGAGTTTTCGGCTAGGAAAGTTCAAATGAAGGTGGGAGTCCCGTATATATAGGCTGGGGGGTATGGTCGGTGGTGGGGGCCACCTGGCACTAGCCGTAAACGGGTTTACAGCCGTAAATGGGTTTACGGCCGTGAACACCACTCAGGCTGAAAACTGTCGATTTTTCAAAGGAAACTCGGGGTTTTTCGCGTGATTTTGGTTCCGACTCTTATATAAAATTCAATTATATAACCTAAATGATGATCCAAATCATAAGAATTTAACGGAACTTGATAAAATTTAAAATTTTATTAACGGAATCGGGCTAACATTAACGGAAAAAGATTCGGGTTGTCACAATAGGCCCCTCGATGATTTGAAGTTGACATCAAATGTACGGTCGTACTTAAGCTAAGTTGACAATGGATCAATAGTGTAGTTTGTTGTTGGTCATCACAAATCTCTATCGGGAAACATAATATTGAATGTTTGATTAGCATACTTCTATATCTTATGTTTATATGGATATCATAGAAAAAAGGAAGATTGTGTCACTTACTAAGAATTGTTCATACTTATAGGTTAAGAGTACATTTATAGTCTTGGACGAAGTACATCTTGCTAGGCTAAAAAAGGTAAGACTATACACTAGGAGTATTCTATTGGAACTATGCACATGGTCATAACAAGTTAGTGGCTTTCCATAATTAGTAGTGTCTTTTTTAGGTTACATGCAAGACTTGAATTAAGCATAAAATGACAAAAAGAATTTTAGAAGGACTAGTTTATTAACTTATCATCTTACAGTGAATTAATTAGAAACTAAATAAGAACATGTTCTAAGTGCAATTATCTCTTAATTCAAGTTAGAGATAAAGATAACACTGGAGATAAGTATAAGGGTACAAATACCCCAACCCTAGTTGATCCAAGGTATGACCGGCTCCTTTTTGTCTTCCCTCTAATTTTATTCTCTAAGTTTCTAAGGGCTCTCACAACCTTCCCTCTCCAAGGCAGGCTTTGGTTTTGAGCATCAAAAAGAAGAAGAGTTTGTCTTGTTGTTTGGTCATTTCTCTTAGGTGCAACTACAAGAGAGAGATTCTGGTTTGGGTTTTAATCATCCAAGAAAAGCTAGAAGAAATCAATCCAAGTAAATTGAAAGGTATCTTTCGACCCATAATTACTTCTTAGTTTTGTTGCTAAAAGTTCCTATAACCGGATCATTGATGTGTTAAGATGATCAAATTTTGTTATTTCTTCCGTTGTGATCTTTGTTATCAATCATCAGAGCCTAAGACATGCAATACCCAAATGTTACGTGACTAACCTAGGCTATTCCCATGATACCAAAAAAATGCCTAAAATCGGTCTACATTATGACTATTCCACAATATACTTTTGATGACATGATGGAGTGAGAAATAATTGCAATGAGCCTTCATGTGATCTAGATAGATAGTAGAGCTCTCGAGACATTCTTTTTTCCTAGGCCTTCACCATGAGAATCACGAAAAAACACTTGTATGGAATATTGGTTGCTTAATGATACTAAATAATATAAGGAAACTTTTTCTTTGCAAGTGATTATGGTTCGGTCTGCAACAAAATGCCCTAGTTAGTAATGTATTGTTTTTTAGACTTTTATTTTGGGGGGTGGAGGTTAAGAGTGTGCCTCATCCAATGAGTCATTATTAGGTCATGACCTATATGTTAAGCTATGAACAGAAAAATTGTTCATCTACAAATAATTAGCAACAGTAATTTACCAAAGGAACTATGACAGAAGCCACCTGATTTCAAGGTATTAGGGATGGATTTATGAATTGGCAACGGATCAGTTACAGACTGGCGAGAGATATTGATGAAATTTCGATGAAAATTTCCTAATACGTAACAAAATTACAGACCCACTTAACGACACGGGCCTTGTACGGTTGAACATTCCACACCTTCACTGGGTCGGCCCTAAAATAAGCATAAGGCTAAAATGAAGAGTACAATTAGCCCAAGTTAAGGTCAAGCCAAGAGCTACCAGGCCGAGGCCGAGCCCAAGGCAACCAAACCCATTCCTCATTCAATATTGTTAAACGTCGATATGGTTTGAAATATATTCGGCTTTTAGGATTGCTATTCAAAGAATAATGTAATTTTTACCCAACTCGTAGGATGATATGTGATGATAATCACCTAAATCATGCATACCCTAATTGTGCATCCTCTTCAATGGCGGCCCCCTGTGTGTGCGAGTCATGCGGTCGTACTGGGCCTTCGACTTTTAGGAGCCTCCAATTTAAGAATAAATTTATAGTTATAGTGTTGAGATTTTTATAAAATATACTATTTTTTATGCATTATCATAAAAGAAAATCAAACATGTTAGTTATTTACATAATGTAATATTTGATTGCAATCTTTAAGTCATGAAAAAACAAAGAAAATCAAAAAATCAAAATCTTATCATAGATTTTAAATTTTATCTAAGAAAAGTATGTATATCAAATACAAATCTATTTCTAATATAAATTCTAGCATACCTTTTCCTTTTTATAAACCCACCAAAAATTAATTAAAGAACAAATCAAACCTTAATAAACATGTCATTGCATCCCCGGTATTGCTCGTCTCTATGGCGTGAAACTTCTTATCATTTTCTTTTGTAACTATTTCAATTTATAACTATTGTTAGGATTATTCTTCTTTTATTAAAAAAGAACGGCATATAAGAAAAACAAAACTAATATATATGATAATTAATGTAGTTAGTTAAGCAACAATCAGTATTCCGAATTCTCCTCTCGGTCTCTACCCCCCTCTAATTCTTCCTCACTTTCTCTCCTCCCTCATTTTTGAAAAAAAAGTTCCTAACTCAATTACCAAACACCTCCCGAAAACTCAAATCCATAATTTAGATTCCAATTCAATCGATCCAGATTCATCTTTATGTATATATTCATACATGTATGATTCAAAAGCATGCAGCATTTTGGTTCTCGAAGAACGGATATACGTCTTTGTTATATCTAGTCCCGGACCCTTAAACGGGGTTGGTTGTATTGCGTGAAAAGGAGATAAAGAACCTGATGTAAATTGCAATCGTGTCTATATATGTGTATATAAATTATAAAATTGAAACAAAATTGATTGACAATATGACGCAAGAGGTGGTAGATGACATGAATACCGGTTAGTATTATTATTTTTTTCTTCATTACAATATATAATTTTAATTAGTAAGTTTTTTTGGTGTTATGTTTATAAGCAACAAATGTATATTGTTATATATTTTGTATAGAAAATGCCGGTAGCAAGCAAAGGATGGTAGCCGAGGAGGTGCTTAAACACGAGAATCCGGAGATCGTGGCTGAGGTCTATAATTTTCGGGACCTCGCTCACGCAACTGAAAACTTCAATCCCGATCTACTTGTGGGCAAAGGTGGATTTGGGAGGGTCTACAAGGGTCATCTGGAAGGCAAAGACCAAGTATATATACATCTTTCGTTGTTATTTTTCGTTCTCTTTTAGTCAAATTATGAGTTATCTGTTACTAAAAATTGCCAACGCGTGAAACATTAACCATCCTCGTTTATTTTATAAGTATTTTGTGCCATGTTTAAACCATTAGTTTGCATGTTTTCTTTATCATCAAAAAGAAAATTGATTCTTGAACCCCTTTCATGCTCATGTCATGTCGAGGTACAGAAGAAAAAACTGCAAAATCCGATTCAATTTATCGTAATCGATTGTAGTGGTCGAATTTTGTAAAGCGTTTGGTTTTGTAAAATTGATTATCTCTTCATAATTAATCCAAAATTGTTATATACATCATGTCGTGTCCATATGGTGAATGTGGGCTCGTCCATGTCCCCTCTTTGTATAGTATATTAGTATTCTATATTTATATCAACCAAAAGGTCTTGAGTTTAAATTCTGAATGTGTATATCATGTGGTAGTTTACTTGATGCCATGGTTTGTGGTTTAACAATATTCCCAATTCATGTGCTGCAGGATGTGGCTGTGAAACAACTGGACATGATTGGAGTACAAGGGAATAGTGAATTTTTAGCGGAGGTTCTAACATTGAGTCGTGTTCGCCACCCGAACCTAGTCAATCTCATTGGATATTGCGCAAACGGGCATCAAAGGTTGTTGGTCTATGAATACATGACCAACGGTTCACTTGAAGAACACATTTTCGGTAATTCTAATATCAGATTGGATACATATAAATTTACAAAACGGTAATCGTTTTAAGTAATTTTATATTACAAGGAGGTTAGACCTGAAAAGGGCGAGGTCTACTCTTTTTGTTATTGTAATTTTTAACTTTAGTTTTATTCCTTTTTTTTTCTGAAGATTTGGATGACGACAAAACGCCCTTTGATTGGCATACGAGGATGATGTTGGCTAAAGGAGTAGCAAAAGGACTCGAGTACTTGCACAACGAAGCTGACCCTCCGATCATTTATAGAGATCTAAAATCTTCAAATATATTACTTGATGATGATATGAATCCTAAACTCTCAGACTTTGGGCTAGCTAAGTTTGGCCCAAAAGAAGGAGAGGATCATATCTCCACGAGAGTAATGGGAACTTACGGGCATTCGTCCCCTGAGTATGCAATGACAGGAGAATTAACGACTAAATCAGATGTTTATAGCTTTGGGGTTGTGTTTCTAGAGTTAATCTCGGGTAGAAAAGTCATTGATCACCGAAGACCATCCGAAGAGAAAAACCTAATTACATGGGTAAGTTTTCAAGAAAAATCATGATACCCCATGAAAAAATAACACATATACATGTATATATATGTGACACTAAGGTGTTTCACTTAATAGAGACATGACTTAGTCTCATAACTTAGGTATGAATGGTTTTTTTTTGACCGGCAAATACCTCATTTATTTTTCCTTCCATTTCCCCAAATATGTCATCTTTTCTCATAACTGGATAGCATATATTGTATGTGTTAATCTTTTGCTTTCAAAGACTAGAATATGACTTGTGTGTGTTATCTCCTTCGTAGGCACAACCATTGTTTAAGGACCAGAGTAAGCACCCGATGGTGGCTGACCCATTGCTAAACGGGGATTACCCGATAAAGTGTTTGCATCAAGCCATAGCGATTGCAGCAATGTGTCTACAAGAAGAACCAAACACAAGGCCATACATGAGTGATGTTGTTGTGGCTCTTGACTACCTAGCCATGGTTCAAGATGATCACAAACCAAGTGGCGATTAAAATGTTGTTTGAAATCATTGTACACCTTTTACTTTCATAAAATATGTCACTATAACATTGTTTAGCTCAAAAAAAATGAATTTACTTTCGTGTTTCCTTTTATGCAAATCAAACATATAAAACAAGATGCCATATATACTTTACATGGTGAATATTTATAGATATAATTGTACGGAAAACTGACTGTCAATATCTGATGTACCATGTTTTGTTTAATACGGTGGTTAAACATCGAATTGGCTAACATCATCTTTAAGATTTCGATAACTGAAACTAGGGATCTTACTCAATCTATGGTGGTTGTGGTGGCGGCTGTCTGCGACATCTACCATGGTGCACATTCTAGGCAAAAACCTACCACTACCGTCGCCCTTCCTCTTAGCCCTCCGCCATGTCAAGAATCCGAAACTAGGCCAAAATTTAGAACCACCACCGTCACCACCGTGTTTTTTGTTGGTGTTTGAAGTGGTTCTTATCGAACACTTTCCATGATCACCACCACGACTGTCAGCTTCAAGTCTTTTGAAATACTCTATCTCCTTCATCACAAGGTTTCCTACTGTACCACGTGCTCCTATCTCAATTGGAACCGGATCACCACCAGCCATCTTTTCCGGCAAGATGGTGGCGGTGAAGGTGGTGGTCATGGTGTTTATCTAATGTGGGGAAAGATTTCTTTCGGTGGAATGCACTTGTTTTGCTTTGTGTATGAGATGCAATATATTCCATTTCTCGCAAAGTGGTCCATTTGGACATGCCTTTGATAAAGTGAATAATGAGATGGGTTTTGCCTTTTGGCATAATTTAGGCTTTTTGCATAGGGATATTATGATAATGACACTCATGCCTATGCAAGTTTCATTATTCCTTTCACTTTTAATTGCGGTAATTATACATAAACAATGGATTTTTAATACAAAACAGTGTTCATAAATTAATGCCTATAAAATGCAAAGATTGTCGTGTACAAAAGAGTTTCCATTTTACAACTTCAAAAAGCCAGAAAACAGCAAAAGAACATCCATATTGGAGGCTTAATTTCAAAACATCTGCAATGCCAAGTATTTTATGTTTCCAAGCCACGTGGATGAATTCATTAAAAAATTTCAAGACACGTGAATGAGTTCTTTAAAAACTTGAAAGGCTTGCAAGTCAGATTATTATGTTTTTTTAACATCCGGAATATTTATAATAAAAAGCTAGCGATACATCAGATAAAAAGAATAGTTATATCGGAATGATATTCATTAGATTTTATTTTCAATCAATTCATTTGATAGTAAGCTTATTGTTTTTATATACAGACCACTCAAATAAATAATCAACATACCCTTAGTTTTCTTTTTTTTTTTAATCTTTTTGTTCCCAAACACAATATCATTGCGGTATTTTTTATTTTTTTTTGTTCCCAAGCTCAAAATCCTTCTTCCTCTTCATCTTCCAAACTCAAGAACAAATGAACAAAGTTTTTAACTAATGGATAATAGCAATGTTCCTACCCGACAAAGCTTTTAATAATATTTAACTAATTTATATCGATAAATCAAACTTAATAAAAATATAATAATATAAATTTGACATACTTTAAAATGTAGACATACAAACTAATAGAATGACAAAATAATCGGTTACTTGGCAACTTTAAGACATTCTGAAAAGTTAGTATCCAAAAAATAGTGATAACTCTAATGTATAGACAATTGCAAAAGTTGATACGACACAGTTAAAAGACTAATGAGTAATGGCATTTCAAAAAATGGTAAGCCGCACCATCTGAATATACCACATTAACCCGCCTCAAGGCCTACGTGGAGGTCAATTGTGGAAAACTAATAATATTATTTAAGATGTGTTAGGGTTTGAACAATGGACCATATATATGGAATTTACACTCTTTAGCTACTAGGCTTCTATCCTGATGGCAATGTTTTTTCATTGGTGTAATGGTCTAACAATCATATATACACAAGAAAGCAATGAAAGATCGTGTTGAACCAATACCCTTTACTTAATTGTATAAAATGTTTATATTTAGTAGGAAAATTGACTCTGTAGCACAATCAGGTTTGGTGTGTGTCCTAGATTTGTCACTAATGTTTTTTTTTGTGTAATTATTCATTTAAGTATCAAAAAAACGGGAAAAGGATATTGTCAGTGACACATGTGTCATGGCAGGCCACATGGCACATTGGTCAACATAACTTACCCGCATGGCTTCCACACAGAGCTTTTTATGTTACACAATAACATGTGAAGTAATAAGGCTAAAGGGAGTGGACTCGTTAAATGGATTCACTATGGCTCTGGAACACCGCCCCCTAGCACTTGCTAGGGGACTCGCTAAGCTCCACTCGTTACAAAGTTGGCGAGATGGTAGAGAATTGCAAAGTGGATCTGATTGGTGGAAATGACTTTGAGCAGATTGCATTTAATTCTTTTGATTGTATTTACTTTGTTGGGGCAATTGATATTTGAATTTAATTCACCAACAGGGAAAGCAACTTTTATTTGTTTAATGTAAAAAATAAATTATATTTTTAAAAAAGAATTCACATACTAATATATATATTTTAACCGAATTTATTTAACTTTCAACCACACCCTCATCTATAATTCAAATATTATAAATAAAGTAATTAAATTAAATTATAAAAAGAAAATACAAAAAATATATTTTATATAATATTAAATAAAATATGTTTTTTATTAAAATATAGTAATTAAATTAAATTAGAAAAAAAAAAATAAGTGCTAGGAGTGTTACCACTCCTTACCAAATGTTAAGTGTAGGTGTTAAAATGAGAAAAAATGATGTGGCATTTAAAATGTTATGTGACAAGATGCTAAGAGTGTCACCACTCCCCTTAGCCTAATAAATTCTTTCTTCCCTCTCATCACATCTTCGGCCTTCACACACGTCTGCACTTGACCTTGACCTTGACCGATCAAGCCCCAATTTAATTGGTCAAATTCAACTTTAATGATTTATTGCATGGGAAAAAAAATTAGTGACCAATTTAAGATAAAAACCGAATTTGATTGTGTTGTAGTGTTAATTTCCCTATTTAGTGAATAAAATGTAAGATTTTTTAATGTTGTTTGTTGGATTGAGTGCAGAAATTATCTAAGTATCGTTTATGGTATATAAAATACTGTAAGAATAACAAAAAAATTTAGTTACTATAAGACTTAAAACAATAAATTATTTGAGGTTATCAAAGTCAAATGAGATATTTAAAAGGGTAATTGCGGTTTACCTAAAGAGGTAATAATTGATGCTTCTATTGAATTAAATCATATCATGAAACCACTTGATTGTCCTTTCGGCATCACAATGAATGCGTTAGTTTCTTACTTTCTTCTTTTCAACTCTTTTTTCTTACCTTCCCCATGTTTATATCATTACTTATTTGCAAATTAAGTTGCATATTTGCCTGTCGGCTTGGTCAAACAGATAGGGTAGGTTTGATACGGGTCGGGTGGAACGGATTAATCCATCTCCCTTATCCATTTTATGGAAAGAATATATACAAGTAATCGATATCTTAAAAATGATTACAAAAAGATAAATTTTATGCCACATATTTCATTGATTCCTCTTATTTCATGATCTATACACTCTATAACATGCCAAAAATGTCACATATTCTTCCAAAAGTCAACATTTATAAAATAACACTATCCCTTCATTATAAGGGCGATGATGATGAAAACGTTACATAATAAACATCACCCTTCTTTATCTATAGTATTACGTATACCTCCTCTATTATTTCATTTTCTTTTTATATATAATTTGTATAACAAACAATATTAAGGTACACGAGGGACATGACACGAATACCTCATGGTTCGATGAGACGCAAGAGCTTGTTGCAACGCAACATTAACTCGAGCTCCCCCATTAAATATCGAATCATATACCCGACACACGAATTTTGATAACTCCTCCTCATCATCATCCCAAACTAACATACCTTTATCTGTATCTGTACCTGTACCACCTTTATCTGTCTCACTGTCTTCCCAATCACTGGATGGGCTTACGGGTTCCGTGCCTTCGTCGTCTCCTTCGTCTACCCCGATTTCAAATTTACCGTTTTCTAAATCGTTGAATTCGGTGGTGGAGCCGTGAAATGTTGTTAGTTGCATTTCTTGGGGTTCGGATGATGGACATATCACGGCTTTTGCACCGGAGTCGAGGAAGGATTTTATTAAGGCGGGTGATGGTCCGTATAAACACGTGCATATTATTATCCTGTCCCTCCATGCACCAACCTGTCAAATTTCAATTTCCGGATTTTATCTCATAAGATAATATATCTATATATGTATATATGTGTGGATATATAAAAACATAAACATACCATCCAACGAACATCTTCGGGAGTTAAGTGCATAGAAGGGACTGTTCTTCGGAACATGTAAGCCCCAATTTCTTGATCATCTTCCATAACCTTTCATCAATCATTAAGATACATACATATATATAAGTGATATGTTTTTCAAAGTAGGATAAATGAAAGGAGTAAGCATATACTTGGGTTTGGCGTCCTATGTAACGATGGACAACGCCACCAATCTGGAAGTAAGGGCGACATGCAACAAGATCAGAAATGGTAGAGATGTTGGAGATTACTGATGTGTATTTTCTACGTCTTCCTTTTAACATTGATAGCAAGTTGTATTTAACGTTCTGTAGAAACTTCTCCGCAAGTTCTCCTGGCTCAGCCACCACAAACACATCGTTTTGCCAACTATAATAAATAATAATTGCAAGTTCTCAGAATGACATAATTAGTGTTCGATACAGATATTAAAAAGAGGGAGAATTGAAGGAAGAGAAATGCGGACCTTAATATGGAGCCAGTGGTATCATTTTGGAGAGCCAGGTGAACAACACCGACCTGAGGAGAATTCTGTAATTTCTCATGCAAGATTCTAACAGGCACAGAAAGCTGTCTGGGGACAGTGGGTGATTCCGGAGGGGAAGCAGTCCTTCCGGAATGGAATCCATCAAGGCTTAAATGTGGTACGGATTCAATTCTGCCAACTCTATGAATTCCACCAAGATCCGGACTGTAAAGAAGTGGGCTTGATGGGAAGCTTCCGGTGAATAATGGTGATGTGAATGGTGTAGGGAAAGATGTTCCTGGATCTGGCTTAAGTGGTCCAGATCCAGATGCAGCAGCAGCATTCAGAAGAGTTAATCTTATACTATGACCTGAACAAAATGTCTGAAGTGATCGAGCATGGTTGAAGACTCTTCCGGAATCTGGATTATGAGAAGCTTCTACTAGTAGTACGTTTCGTCTCCACCCTAAAGATGGACCACTCTCACCTGTGGAAACGGATGTTAACACTAAAGCTAAATGAAAAAAAATAGCATACCTACTTTTGTTTCTTTGTTTATTATAGCATCTTACTTTTGTTTCTTGCTATTACAGCCTTCTACTTACAATTTTTTTTCTTATAAAGACATTGTACATTGAGAAATTTACCCGATTATAGAATTCTACTTTGAAAATTTTGTCCAATTATAGCAGTAAAAATTGCTATATCTTTGGATGACATTATTAAAATTTGGTTGTTCAAAATAGAATACATACAAAAAGCAAATTGCTATTTCATGCAATCAATTATTTTTATTGTTAGAACATTGTGATTTGATTCAGTTGAAGGATATACGAAACTATAGCAGTGAA